ACTGGTGATGTTGAGCATTTTTTCATATATTTATTTGCCATTTGTACTTCTTTAAGTTAATTTGATAAAAACAATGTGGTACTGGCTATAAAGCAGACCTGCGGATCTGTAGTACAGACCATAAGATATGGAAACAACTCCAAACACACTCAACTGTGTTACCTTTGACAAGGGACCAGACATGTCCACTGGAAGAAGGATAGTCTCTTTAACAAATGGTGCTGGAAAAACTGGCTTTTTACATGCCGAAAAGTAAAACTAGACCCATATCCCTCACTGTGTACTAAATTAAATCAAAATGGATCAGAGATCTAAATATTAAAGCAGAAACACTAAATCTTCTGGAAGAGAGATTAGGAAGAACTCTTGAGGATAGACGGCTAAGCAAAGACTTCATGAACAAAGCCCAGACTACATGGGAAATAATACAAAGAATCAAGAACTGAGATCTCATCCTAGGGGTAAGGGGAATAAAAAAGAGAAGCAAGACCTGTCATGTAAAGGTACAAGATCCCAATGATGAATGTAACTGTACTGTATACCTAAAATGTACCGATAAACTCAATGAGAAAAAAAATTTAAAAAATAAAAAACTTTTGTACTGCAAAAGAAAATACCAACAAAGTGAAGAGACAACGCATAGAGTAGGAAAAAATTCTAGCTGGTGGTCCCTCAGACAAAGGACTAATATCTAGAACATACAAATCATTAAGAGTAATCAGACTTCCCAAATGTAAAGACCAAATCCTAAAGCGGGCATCCATCTGAAATGTATAAATATAGTCCTAAAAAGCTTATTCTTTAGCTTCTGTACTTTGCATAAATGACATAAAGTGTGATTTGTTTTTTCATTTAGTTTTATATATTTTGGATAAATCTTTTTAGATTTTATTTTACCTAAAATGGATTCAGGTCATATGCACAGCACATACAAAAGTACATATTTCTGTGCAAAATGCTGTTTGCATTTTGTAGTATATGGCAAGAGGTAGCAGGTAACATTTACTGCATGCTTACAATGAAAATCATTGAGACACTATACTATTCTTATTCTTTATATGTATTGACTCATTCATTACAAAGTGTTTTATGACATAAAGTAACATTATTATCCTAATCCTAGCACTAATGAAAGGGCCTTCAAGTCTAGTCTAAAACCTAGACTTGAAAGAATAAAAAAGAAAAAAAAAGACAAACTTGAGTCACAGAGATATAAAACTTGTCGGATTTATTACATGGTATCAAAAATACAAATAAGGTAGACTATTACTAAGAGAGTGGCTCTCTTTAGTGGGAGAAGAATGGAGGATGTTATCAGGAAGGTAAATGTACACAACTGAGGACTGGTAGAGAATGAGGGCTTTATTTAGTATGTTGGGCAGGCTGATTCGTACTGTTAAATCAGGAATTATAAAAGCTGGTTGGTAAAACATTGGTGGTTTGAACTTAAAATCTGTACTGATGGGAGTATTTGCAAAATAGAAATTATAAATGGTGTAAATGCTAAAAATAAGGACCCCATTACTCCAATGTTTCTTTGGTAACGTACCAATGGTTGATGGGTTTTCCTACCAGTCTGTTGTTAGTGTTTGATTTCTTGACCTTTGAAGTTGTTACAGGTGTTCATATTATAATTCATTAAGTTATATACTTGTATACTGCATATTGTATATGTGTGCTTTTTTCACCAGACAAGTTATAATAAGTATTGATAAGAAAACTGGGTTTTACCTAGTATTGATGGGAGTGAGGCAAAAATTGTGAAGAGTGTGGGAAATGGGAAGAAACTTGTTTTTCAATAATAAGTGGAATAGATTATTTTGGTGATAATTTGCTTGCAAATGTAACAATCTGTATGTAAATATTTATTTGGTAGATAAACAGATGTTAAAATTATATATGAAAGTTCATTATATGTTGTAGATAGCAGACCTCCCTAATTTAAAGACGTACTCCAAAAATGTGCATCTGAAATGAACAGACATTTCTCGAGGTAGAAACAGTAAATAAACATATGAAAAAATGTTTAACATCACTGGTCATTCAAGAGATGCAAATGAAAACAGCACTGAGATTCCACTCACCTGAGAAGAGTAACTGTTATCAAGAAATCAACCAATAACAAATGCTAGCAGGGCTGTGGAGAAAAAAAGAACCCTTTTCCACAGTTGGAGAGAGTGTAGACTGGTGCCACCACTGCAGAAATCAGTATGGAGATACCTCAAAAAACTAGAACTAGATATTCCATTTGACCCAGATATCCCCCTGCTGGACATCTTCCCAAAAGAATTAAAAGAATCATAACACAGTGATATATGCTTACCCATGTTTATAGCAGCACATATTGTAATAGCTAAAACTGGGAAACAGCCCAGTTGCCCATCAACTGGAGACTGGATAAAGAAGATGTATTATATAACACACACACAGACACACACATATATAGAACACACATATATATTCTTAATGGCTGAGTAGTACTCCATTTTATATCTATATATAATGATCTATATATAGATCTATATATAATGGAGTACTATTCAGCCATTAAGAAAGAAACTAGACTTTTATAGTTAAATGTATATGCATTGAGGCCATACTCTTAAGTGAAATAAGGACACACATGTGAATACCAAATAGTTTCTCTGGTGTGAAAAATTAAAAGTGTAACTAAGGATCAGAATGTATAATAGATAATGTGAAATATGAAGAAAAGGTACAAAGGGGAAGGGCAAGTGAGAGGAGTAGGGGAAAGGGAAAAACAGAAACAAAATCTTCGTAAATAGGAAGAGGTAAAGGGGTTGAAGTGAGGGCAGGGCAATGGGGAAAAAAATAAGAACCAAGGTATATCATGTAAAGGTACAAATTCCAAATGATAAATGTCATCATATTGTATACACAAAATGTAACAATAAACATAATGGGAAAAAGTGTATATTGAAGGGATTGTGGTTTAAAAATTGACAAATCAGCTATATATTTCTGTGTACTCCAGGAAGACTTAATGGTTAAAGGATTTGGAAAAGTCTAGCTTTATGCTTAAAACTATAGTTATATATTAATAATATATTACATATGTGTTATTTTATCTCCGTTTTATTGATAATTAGGTATTTTACATGTAATTATTTTAGAATGTAGACATTTTGATGGAAGTATGTGTGCTTTAATTTTTGTGTTAACTTTCATTTAGTGGCTTAGTAACTATTTTTATATTCTCATAATATTATGTTTTATACTGTGTAGAAAGAAGAAAAAAAACTATAAAACAAGTAATTAGGTAGAGCAGGATGCTTTTTCTATGCTTTCCTGAATCTGCATAGTCTGTAAAAGAAAATAAGTTTATTTGAGAGTGGAAGATTATTGAGAAACATTAAGTTAATAAGAATAAGAAAAAGTATTTATCTAAACATTTGGTGATTATACAGTTTAGAATTACCCAGAAGTTATTTCAATTCTCATCCCTCAAATCTGACAGTCCGTGAATCAGTGAATAATTTTAAATTGGCAAAAGCCTAAAGTTAACTTTTAGATACACTAATGTTACTGAAATTGTATAACATTAACAAAAATATTGTAATTAATAAATATAATTATTAAATAACTTAATATCTCAAAGTAATTATATTCAGCTTATTTGTCATGGATTTCTCCATTTCTTCCCTGTTTTCTCCTAGATGGTCCCCGGCCATCACAAAAAGAAATTATATCACTTCGGGCATTTATGCTGCTTTTTCTCAAACAACTCATCCTAAAGGTAAAATAATTTTTTATATTTCAGAATTGTGATGTATTAGGTCAAAAGAAACTTTTGGCATAGTTGTCATAATTTTTGCATTATTATTATTAAATTAATAGTAACTACTTTTCATGAATTGCTTTCAAAATTTTATAAACTGTAGTACTAAATTATTGAACTTTTAATTAAATGTTCTTTGATATCCTTTATTAATGGAGAAGGCAGAAAATGACAAGGAACATGAGTAAGAAGCCAGTGTAAATATTTTATTTTAGAAAATGTTCTATGTTCCAGTTTAAGAAATCTTGCACAGTGTGTAGAAATCTTACGTGAATGCAGAAATCTTGAATAGGTATAGAAAAAAGAAAAGTGAAATTCTAAGAATATAAGAAGTTATAAATATGTTAATCACTTTTCCATTGATGAATAAATACTTGATAACTGCAATTTAAATGGGGAAAAGTTTATTTGGCTCCTGGTTTCAGAGAGTTCAAAGTGGAGGAAAACTGCTCAACACATGGCAATAAAGGAAGTAGAGAGAGGGAGCAGGGAAGAACCAGGAGTATACCCTTGAAGTTCATGCCCCACTGATCCTTTGCTCCAATTAGGCCCCAAGTCTTGACAGTACATTCAACTATGAATTTATCCATGAATTAACCCACTAATGTATTTAGCATTCCCACAATCCACTTACCTTTAAAAAGCTCCACCTCTGAATGTGTAAGATCATTGAATGACATTGCAGATCTAAATCATACCATTTAGTGGCTTATGTATACTCATTATGCAAAATGCATATAGTTCATTTCCAAGAGTCACCATTCTTAATAGTTCTAGTATTGCTCAAATAGGTCTAGAGTCTTCTCTGAGACTCAAGCCAAGCTCTTAGCTATAAGCCCCTGTTAAAAATCAGAAAGAAAGTTAAATATTTCCCATATACAGTAGTATGGAGTAAATGATACAATTTCAAAAACTAGGGATATAGAAAAAGTATCAGACCAGCATAAGACAGAAATCCAACAGGGCAGACATTAAATTCTTTAACTCAATGCCTAGTACCCAGGGCAAGTGGTGTTGAAATGTGAGTTCTGAAAGACGGGTGCAGTAGCACATGAATATAGTAGCACCCCTGTAGCCATGCAAGTTACTGCTCAACCCATGTGGATAGCCATTCTCTTGCTCTGGTTCCAGCCTCTCCTGGCTTTAGTTAGCAGAAATTCCACATTTCTGTCTTTCTAATTTTTTAGAGTCTACACTTTACCTTCAGCTTTATTTGTCTTGCTTTGATCATTGTCTTCTCAGAGGCATATTGCTTGGTCTCACAGGCCTTCCTTTGGAATCTGGAAGGAAGCCACCATGATGTTACAATTCTTGCACTCTCTATACTTATAAAATAAGTACCATGTCCTGTCAGTGGTAGCAGTAGCTGGGCCCCTGTGGACCATGGGTGCAATGCCCTCTTAAGTGCCTAGATGTCCAAATTCTGAAATACATTTCTCTAGGAAGTTCTAAATGAGTAGGACACTTTGGCCTCTCTTGTGAGAGAAAAATGTTTCAAAAAAATTTACTGTTATGTACCCTAGAGCCTCTGATGGTTTGAATCTGGCTGTTTTGTGAAATGCCCTCAAACCATCTCTTTTGTTGTTCTGGTCAAAGTACATGAACTTAATTTGTTCTACAAAGTTGGCCATATTGTGTTTGGGAAAGATGGCTGCAGTCTTCTTTGTCTCTAGATGCAGAGTTTGCAAAGAAAAACAAAATTTCACCAAACAATTCTGTTTGTGAACCAAATTGTTTGCAAACAAAAGTGTTTCTAAACCAAAGTACTACTGTATGTGACTTCTATTTAATGGTGCTGAACTGTTCAGCAACCTTGCTCTTCTTGATACCACTTTGCAGTCACTTTTTTTTATCAAACTGGAACATTTTGATATTTTGGGGGCTCTGCTTTTTGCTCGTGATTTCTCATTATAAATTTATGACTAAACACAGTCAGCAATAGCGTACCACCACCTAACCATTGGAATTCCTTGGTATTTCCTCTGTCAGATTAGTCTGCTGCCTTTAAATTCACCTTCATTTGAAGTCTTAAGATAAGGGCAAAATGTAGGCAAATTTTCTTGTCAAAATTTATCATGAATGGCCTTAGTCCAATTTCCAGTAGAGTCCTTTTCCATCTAAAACCTCTTGAGCCTGACCTTTACTGTCCACATTTCTGTCAGCATTCTGGTCTTATGAGCATCTAAAAGAATTACCCATCAAGCTCTTCTTACAGCTTTCTAAGGTTTTTCTATCCAGCATCTCTGAAACTTTGCAAATTCATCCTGCAAAAGAGTTTCAGATGCTTTTTATCTATATCATCAGGTATAGTCACAGCAGTGACCTTACTTCTGTAGTAATAGTTTTCTGTATTAGTCACTTTGCTGCTGATAGGACAAAATAACTGTCACCTGCAGTTTAAAGGACATGAAAGTTTATGCTTTCCAAGATTTTAATCCATAGTTAGCTGGCTCCAATGCAAAAATATCATGGCAAAAGTGCATGGTGGTAGAAACCTGCTCAGTCCATGCTAGCCAAAAAGCTGAAAGAGGGAGAGAGGAGGAGTTAGGGTAAGAATATATCCTTCTAGGTCATGTCTCAGTGGCCTGTACCCCCAATCCAGGCCCCACCTCCTGACACACTGAACTATGAACTCATCAATGATTTAATCCACTAATGAGTATAGTACTCTCATGATCCAATCACTTTTTTAAAGACCCATTTCTGAACATGAGATGATTAGAGAACATTTTATATCTAAGCAAAACAGTATTGTGAACTCTTGTATTTGTGTTCTTTGAAGAAGACAGTGAATAATTACCAAATAATAATAAGAATACAATTTATGATCAAAATAAGCTAACTTTTGATAGAGTCAAATTTTAGGAACTCGAAATGTGACAGAATTTTCTAAATATTTAAGTGAAATAATATGAATATGAAGCTTAGGGGAATTTTATTTTAAAAATATCTGCTTTAAAGTCTTATTTTTCTTTTAAATGATCATTTTGATGTATTTAAAGTTTAATTTTGTTTAAATTAAATAATAAAATGTTTTTCAAAAACTAGGATCGAGGGGTGAAGGAAGATGAACTTCAGAGTATATTAAATTACCTACTTACAATGCATGAGGTAAGGCACATAATGGATCTATTTTAATCAGTTCATTGAAAGTTTTAGAATACAATTTTTATTAAATAAATATTCATAATCCTTATGCAGGATGAAAATATTCATGATGTGTTACAATTACTAGTGGCTTTAATGTCAGAACACCCAGCCTCGATGATACCAGCATTTGATCAAAGAAATGGAATAAGGTACGATGATGGTGCTATTATTAGAATTTAATGGAGCATAATTTCGCATCCTAGAATATCTTATCTTATATAAAAGTCTGAATAAATATGAAAAAATCTTACACATGAGAAGGAAATAAATGGAGAAAGCTGCTATGAATCCTCTTAATACTCAAGGAAACTGACTGATACAGGGTATAGAAAATGGTCTCAAGAATCAAGAAAAGTGATTTTAGTGGTTATTGTTAAAATGACATTTCAAACAATATGAGCTGAATTTTTTGAAACAAGGTAATAAAAAGTATGGTATGTTCTAGCAAAAAGACAATGCAAGAGATATATGATATTAGGCACAAGAAAGTCATAGAAGCTAGATTTGGGAGGCCCATATCATGCTAATGAGTTCAGATTTTTTTCTGTTGGTGATAAACTTTGAAGAATTTTGAATGGGCAAATGATGTATTCATATTGCCATTTTGTTAGATTAATAGTAGTGTGAAACATAAATTAGAGAAGAGCATTGATATAGTGACATCAAAGAGAGATTATTTTATTGATTAGTATTAAGATGGTGACCTGAAGCAGTGACAGTACAGTGAGAATAATAGACTGGAAATGTGTTTTGGAACAAGAAAAAGTCTGAAAACTAACTTTAGTTATGATGATTATAAAGAAACTGGGTCAATGTCTGAAACAGTTTCTGGAGTAATAGTCTCCTGAACTTAAATCTGTAATTTATACCCTTGGGGATTTTCAGTTAATTTTTCTGGAGTTTGAGCTAATAAGATGAGCTAAAAAATCTAGGTTTTACCATATACAACTCAGTAAACTTCCACAAGTTGTTTTGTGAACAAAACTTATTAAAATTACATTAATAACTGCCAAGTAATGTTTTGCGCTTCCTTTACTTGGCCATTTACATCATCAAATAACAACTTTTGGACTTGGAAAAAGCTTTCCAGTTTAAGAAGCAGTCATTTCATGGTTTTATGTAGATATGTAATTTAAGCTTATAGGGTTCCTAATCTGTTTGAATGAAATCAAGATTCTTTTCTTGCTGTATGTTGATTTAAAACTGTTATACTTAATTAATTTTATTGTATTAGCAAGTTTATTCACCTAATATAATCGATTATATTCATTTTTTCTGAACGTGATTGACTCATTAGTTTCTTTGACCTTACACCTTTCTTTTTTTTTTTTTTTAGGTGACCTGTCATTTTTTTTTCCAGCTTTAATTGAGTTTATTGGTACATTTTAGGGATACAGTACAGTTACAATCATTGTTGGGACCTTTCTTTATTATCTTACCTCATAGATTATGGGAGTCATTTGAAATTATGCACATCATCCCTTGTAGAGGATACCAAACTTAGATTGTATAATACGGTGAAAAACAGAAAACGAATTTTGAACTATTTTGACACATTGAATATCTGATCTTAAACAGAAGACTGATATTTTGTAAGATCTTTAGGATTTTAATAGCATTTTCAATAATGATATAAAATGATTTATTAAACAAAATCAATAGGCCTTGTGGCTCTTAGTTAACTGCTAGTTCAAAATGTAAGTCTGGTACCAGTATCTCAAAAAAATCACAGATAATAGAAATTGCCCTAGTTTGCTAATTTGTTTTTCCCCTTCAAAAATTGTGGAAATATTTGTCTCATAATAGTATAAACATTGAAAAATAGGGCTTATTAGATAGAAATATATTGAAAACAGTTATGCAATTCAAATACTGTGTTCTAGAAAGCAAGAACTAAAGCATAACAGCTGTACATTATATGAAATAATTTTTGGGGGAGAATTCTGATCAATTATATATAATTCACTTATACTAAGAATTGAACAGAAAGAATAAACTTAATTAATTCTGGTTATTTTATTTTGTGGAGCTGGGGCTCAAAGACAGAGCCTTACACATGCGAAAGGAGTATCTGACAATGAGCTACACCCCTATCCCTAATTCTGGTGTTATTTTAAGTGTACTTAAAGAACCCTTGTGATGCTACAATACTGAACTGAGGAGTTAAAATTTTGCCTTTTTTATATCTGAAAATCATCAATGTAAAGAACCGTAAACAACCCATGTTAACATAGGTCAGTCAGTTTCTGGCTGGATATAGTGAACCTCAGCAGACAAATTGGGATTATTTATTAATACCTTTATATTACAAATAAACATTAATTAACTGATTTGTTGCTACATTACTTATTCATCTTGCATCATAGTTCTATTTGTATATAGGTGTAATAACCCTAGACATGTCATGTTCCAGTGTTATTCCTAACTTCTGTTGACCCAAAAAAGAGTCTTAACACTATTTGCTTCCTCCTATTCAAAGTTATTCACAGGAAAGAGGAGTTCTATAGGAGCTTTCCATTCTATATCCATGTGTAAACCAAAATCTTCGGTTCTCAAAATAACTTTCTATTTGATGTTTTTTAATGATTCCCTGTATATTTCTTTTTTATAAGTATGATTTTCCTGTTTTCAAATTTGTCTCTTTTCATTATAGACCTTGGTTCTTTAAAATTCTGAAAATAGATTCCATGTAAACATAGATTTATGAAAGTGGAATTTAAAAACAGTCATCTTCCAAGGGAAATAGTTGCTGTAGAATTAACCTCTTCTCATATTCTTTAGCAGATGAAATGCCCCCCCCCAATGGCAAGGAAAGGCAATGTCAACATCTTTTTATCAATAGTATAATCTATTGAAAGTAGAACAAAAGCTATCACCTTTATGCCATTTGTTCCTATTAATGTTACTAAACTGATGTGAAAATTATATTGTGTCTTCTCTTACCAGCTTTTATTTCAGCCTAGAATTCTTTACCTTCAGAGTATACCATAGCATTGTACTTTCAAAAAATACTTAATGACGTTTTAGTACACCCCAGATTTTATTCGCCTTTGCTACGCCAAAGGATTTTCTTAAATTCTAGAATTACAAGTGTGCAATTACCATTAGTCCTTTCTGTTACATGTGAACC